CTATCAGGGCAGCACTACAATGCAGTAACGCCTACCTGCGGTTGAGAATAGATGGCAGAAGATAAAGTGATGTGTTTGTGTGTTTGAATTAACGCATGTGTCAGAGATGCCATCTATTGAAATCATTCAAAAGTGAAATGTGTGTCTTTGGAAAGAAAATCCATTTGTGCACAATAATGGGCATGACTAAAGTGATCTACGGCCAGTTCAAAAGATGTGCTGCGGTGCATGGATAAGTGTGTTAAGAGTTAGACTGATGGATAGAAAAATCTACAAAGACATCTTCGCAACAAGGCATAAAAACTTACAGTCCAGGCAAGTCAAAAACAATCCATGCAACTACAAAGACAAACTACAAAACGGGTTTAGTATGTGTTAGGTCTGACAGAAGGTCTGGACCATAAAGAAAATCTTTACAAAAAGAACAGAAATACCGAAACAGGAAGGCCACCCCAAGAACTGCAGGAGAGGTGACGGCTAATACGATACCTAGGTTGACCGTCAGCTTGACCCTTCCGCTGTCCAACTCGAGCCGCAGCGTGTCCGCAGAATCACGAGACGTGGCAGCCATGAGCAGGCCGAACGCTCGCTGGGACATGAAGCGGAGGGAGACGTCTTCAGCCTCGGTGTGGATGATGTTAGGTATCACCACCTTCATGTACATGCTCCCGTCATAAGACAATATTGACGCCTCTGTGGGAACAAAAATACACAAGAAAGCTCAAATGCTGATCTCGACTCGACAGAAATATTAAATACACCTTTAATTAGCGGATTTAATTTCATTAGCAAAAGTGACACGGGCAAGCGCGTGGGTGCAAAAACAAGAGATAACATGAGAAATGGCACAAAATATCAAATCATTCCATCAGACAGCTGTTTATGCACCAGGAGATAAAATCTACAACAAAAACACCCGTGCCCTGAAAGTAAACAAATACAGTGAGAGAAATATTTATTTAATCCCGGCATGAATTTGTAAGATTGCTCAATTACAAAGAAATGAACAATTTCTAATGTTTATGGCAGTTTCATTTTAATGGAGAGAAACAGAATATGAACCAAAAATCTAGAAAATCAAATTACATAAAGGATGTGAATTGATTTGCAGGTCACTGACTGCTTAATAATTGGAGTAGAAAACTGTGCTGGCAAGGACATTTCTTGTAGTTTTTCCAGCAACTACAAGAAATGTAGTAGGAAGTATGTTTTGGGTCATTGTCATGTTGGATTTACATCCATCTTCAGTGCTGTCTCTGACGGAAAAAGGTTCTCATCCAAGATTTACAAGGCCTCTTCCACTGGTTCCTGAGTGCGATGAAGTCATCCTGTACCTTTAGCAGAAAAACAGCCCCAAAGCACAATCTTTCCCCCTCTGTGCTCGACTGTGACGATGGTGTTCTTTGGGTCATACTCAGGAGTCCTCTTCCTCGAGACACAGCAGGTTGAGTTTCATCTGACCACAGCACTTTCTCACAAGCTTTGTCTGAATCATACCAAGTTCGAGTTCACTGGAAAATGTAAAAACAGGTCTACCCATTAAGCAGGAGGACCTTGCAGATACTGAAATATTGTGATCTTCTTGCTGATGATCTTGTAGTCCACTCCAGCCTTGTGCAGGTCTACAATCTTGTCTCATTGTTTTGAGGCGGTTGGAATGGAAGAAACCGATTATGTGGACATCCAGTTTTGTTGGTTTTTGGCTGATATACCCCACTATGCTTGGTCTGTTATGAAAAGAGCATCCACTTTAAAATTTGGAACAGGAATCCTTGCATGTGCTCATTTTTTGGAACTAAGACACACACACACACACATCCCTCATGCCTAGTTGCAGCTGTAGTTGCTGTAGTTATCATCCATCAGCTGACAAGTCAGTGTCACACACATGCTGCTCAGACTGCAGAAAATTAAATTATCATGCTACTTCCTCCTTTCCCCGGCAACTCCCCACTATGTGCGCTAGCTAGATGATGCCTTTACTTTCATCACAGCATCTCGTTTTGTAAATGTAAAATCAGTCATATGCTAACATCATATAAAAACTACCTTTCCGTGCTGAATAATATAAAATATTTTGCAGTTAAATAGAGACAATACCAACAGGGTTTGATGGCTGCCGGGCCACACTGTTCTGTTTCTATTCTTTTGAGAAAGCCTCAGTGAGTGTGGTGGAGAAAGAGGAAGACTGTCAGCAGAGTGGAAGCCTCTTGGGGAGAGAGAGACAGATTAAAAAGGGTATCCAACCATGAAATACCTGTTTTGACACCTCAGCTTTTAAAAGAAAAAATAGCCCCGTGGCCTAAGAAATGCACCACCATTTGGCTGTGTGTGTGTGGGTGTGGGGGGAGGGGGGGCATCACACCACAGACTGTTTGTACATGTAAACGATGAAATCTCCCTTGTCACGTACTGTGTTCAACTACAGACTAAGGTGCCATTTCCAGGTCGATATTTAGAGGCGAATGTTTACCCATGCAAAAGGTAATGCATTATAAGTAATATTGGATTTTTCCTCACCTAAATGTCAAAATTTGTGTGATGTGTTGCAAAATTCATGTATAAGCAGTGTGAAATCACTCAACCATTCATCCCACCAAACAGCACACTGCTATAAAAATCCCACTTTCGTCTGTGTTGCTCTTAGGGCTGTTGTAAAAATCTATTCTATGAACAAGCTGTCGACTGTGTGGGTACAGTAGCCTGGAGGATAATGAAACCTTGGCTCAACATTGTTCTTCCCAATTTTAAATTGCCCTGGCTCCCTACCTCTTCGTATCTCCTCTGCTCTCTTGTGCGTACACATAAAAAACACAGCCACACATGCATACGTACCACATAGGATGTCCTAACTAGCAGTGCATGTATTGATTTGTGAGCCAGGTCTGGTCCTGGTCTCACAGTAGAAGGGAAAAAAGTAAATAAAATGAGGTGAGAATAAATCTGCAACCAGGGAGAACATAAAAAGCACCCTTTGAAACAAACTATGATGTCCACTCTGGAGTTGAAATAGATTTCGTTTTTCCCAGATGTTTGCAGATATGGCAGTGGGATGCTATGGAGCCATTATTAAAAGTAAACATGTTACTTAGTGAACAACTTTCTTTTCTTTTTCTCTTTAATTGCAAGGTGTGAAATAGAGTTCTGTTGGATTCTGCCCCGCTGGAACCAATAAGTGGCAGAAATACACAACAGACAACAGTGAAGAAAACTGCATAGTTATGCTGATGTGTAGTTATGCTGATCTCCCAACCACATGGAGATAGGCCTAAAGAACATTTTGACATTACAGCCATAATTGACGTTTCGTAGACATGTGACCATGCGCCATTATTTACATGTGACAATCATGGTGATAGTGCAGCATCAAATGAATAAGGTCCCCAGTCACACAGGCATAGATGTCAGTCTGCGAACTCTTGGCAACCAATATTTGCTTGAGAAAAAAATGTGTATTTCCTCACTGGCTGGCAAAAACCTCCTGATTGCTTTGTTTGCTAGCTAGCTATTGCTGCTAGCTTGCCAGCTAGTCTCTGAGCTGTAAGGAGTGAAAAATGAATAACAAATAAGAAATGAAGACTGATTACCTTTTTTAAAGACGCTGACTGCAGCAGTTGAGGCTGAGCTTTTACTAGAAAGTAAACCTTCTCCATTTCCAGATAGCGTCACACTTTTTCAAGTTGTACTACTTCTAAGCTAGTAGCAAGTAGGAGTGGGCGATATAAACGATATATGATAGAAACGATAAATTTGGCCAACGATAGAGATTTTGACTCTATCGCGATAGCACATGTTGATGATGTCATCAAGCTGCGCCTGTTTTGGTCGAAAGCGTCGCAGCGGTAGCCGCTGATAAACCATTAGTCAACGTCACACTTCAACGTTGATTCAATGACGTCGCCTGATATTGACTCAACTTGTTTCAATGTTTCCTTGCTATCTGGGTTATCATTTGCAAATTATGCCGACAGTCATAGCAAAGAGATGAAGCACTTTTGAAATATGGGGATGCCAAAACTTCTGTAACATTGATACGTTACTGTTGAATTCTCTCGCAGCTGTTCTATTCCCATGTTGTTGCAGTATATTAATAACTAACCTCGTATTGTGGATGAATGATCTCAGTTGTTCTCCTGAGTGAAGTTTGGCCCGTGTATAGCATCCTGCTATGCAATTGCATTTGTCCCTGACCACCAGAATCCCTCACTTTAACCTTTATCTAGTGGGAAAAAAAGTTGGCGTTCATCCTCCAGCTTCACTGTGCTAATGTCATGCTAACATAGCTGTGTCGCTAGCAATCACGTAGCACAACATTATATACCAGGTAGTCCAACTTCAGTAACCCTGCAAACGCCACTGCTGTTTAGTTTTCTGTCTTCATTTATGTCAGAAGTGGTAGCAGAGCTGTACGTTTGAATTAGTTTCAGAAATCTCTCAGCCAGAACATGGTATGTCATGTTTAGGTCTTGTGTTTAGGTGGAAACTAGCGAGCTAACTTCCTGTTAACTTCTAACTCCGTTAAATTTAATAACTTCTGTTTTCATGGATATAAAACTTAATTGTTACACCTGGTAAAGCAGCAACGCTGATGATTTTATTAAAGACTAAAGAATTTAGACCGTTTTTAACTCTCAGTGTTCTTTTGACTTTGGGACCTGAAATGGATGGAGTTTTGGACCCAGATTACTCCGTGAAGCTCCTCACTACGGCAGCCGTAATGCTCTGACGATCCATCAAGCAGTGCGGCTTACCAAAGTTGTACTAAAACATTTTTAACAGATTTCTGCACGCCGAAAAATCGGTTAGATGTCAGTAAGCATAACCAGAATTCATACATAAGGCACACTCTCGATTTTTGAGAAAATTAAAGGATTTTAAGTGTGCATTATAGTGTGGAAAATACGTTATACAGAAGAAAAGAATATATCACGATATATATTGTTACAGCACATGCTTCAAATTATATTGCGATATAAATTTTAGGCCATATCGCCCTAGTAGCGAGCATAAAAAAGTAGAAGCAACTGTGGCCAATGCCAATACATTTTTGATGCAGCACCTCCTTCAGCCAGTGACAGCCAGCCACTTCCAGGAACCATAGCCAACCAGTCAGGGGATGCACATTTAACTAATTGATTGGCTGTTCTATTGCCTTCAATATGGTTGACACGTCTCGAGCAAAGCGACCATGATGCCACCTGAGAAACTTCAATAGCTTTAATTTGGTCTTGCACAATCTTTCCACTCTATTTTTCGACTGTAAGAGATATGTGCTAGAAGATACAGAGATATGTGCACACATGCATTCATGTTGATCTATACTGACTAGCATAATGACTAGCTTAGTACATCTGGCATGGATCGCTTGCTGGCAATTCACAATGCTGCTCCTTTGCCAGCCTGCTGTTTTCAGGAGTCAGTTTAAAACTGTCACCTTCACACAGAAGTCTTTCCAGTCAGGCCACCTTCCTTCAACATCCCTCCTCAGCTCCCACTCTTATGTCAAAAATGGAAAAACTATACTCAGTCCCTCACAGAAATGCTTTGACTGTGTTCGCTGTGTGGATTCCTCCAAAAGTCAACTACAGACGTATCCGTTTATGTAAGTGTTTGGCTAATACTGCTGGCACCAGCTCTGCTTTGATGCATTATGAATTTTTAATTTTTGCACTGCTTGAAACGAAAGCGTTCCG